CGCCTGGCAGCCCTCAATCGCTTCCTGTCAAAATCAGCGGAGAAGTCCTTACCCTTCTTCCAGATCATGAGAAAGACCGCCGGTTTCCAGTGGACTTCAGAGTGTGAGGGGGCCTTCGAGGAACTGAAACGGTACTTATCTTCACCCCCTGTGCTCTCTAAACCCAAGGTGGGGGAGACCCTATACCTTTACCTGGGTGTCAGCCTGGCAGCCATCAGCTCAGTACTCATCCGGGAAGAGGATGGCATCCAACATGCCATTTTCTATGTTAGCAAGACCCTCAAGGAAGCAGAACTCCGGTATTCCCCTGTGGAAAAAACGGTGTTGGCAATCGTGTGGACTGTCAAGAAGTTGAGCCATTACTTCCAAGCTCACCCGGTCCAGGTCCTCACTCACCAACCCCTCGGCGCTTTGATGAGGAGCCCCACCAGCTCCTCCCGAATGGTAAAATGGGCTGTCTTCCTGAACCAATACAACATTGACATCCGTCCTAGGCCCGCCATCAAGGGCCAGCCCCTAGCGGACTTCGTGACAGAGTGCACGGCAAGATCAGCCACAGACGAGGAGCCCTCGGCCCCCTCGGACGATTGGTGGACCCTCTACACCGACGGCTCCTTCGCTGTCAAAGCGTGTGGAGGAGGGGTGGTTCTCATCTCACCCGAAGGCTTCCGGGTCTATTACGTTGTCCGCTTCTCCTTCAAAGTCTCCAACAATGAAGCCGAATACGAGGCCCTCCTCTGTGGCCTTCGGCTGGTAGCTAACATGAAGGCCCGACAGATCCACGTCAAGTGCGACTCCAAGTTAGTTGTCGGCCAAATTTCCGGGGAGTACGAAGCCAAGGAAGGGAGGATGAAGCAGTACAAAGAAGCGGCCAAGGAGTTGCTTAAGGTATTTGAGGCACACTCTCTTACCCAAATACCGAGGGCTCAAAACTCCGAGGCCGACATTTTATCGAAGCCCTTGGCCGAATCCCCTGAGCATATCTCAAAGATTACCAAAATCGAGGAGCTCAGCCTCTCCAACATACATGTTAGCCCCATCATGCACATACAACAAAGGCAAGAGGACTGGATCTCAGATATTGTCGCCTTCATCACCACAGGGCAACTGCCCGAGGATGAGGCCCGTGCCAAGCTAGCAAAGCTGAGGGCTCCCAGCTACGTTATCGAAGACGGAAGGCTTTATAAAAGATCGTACAACGGGGCGTTACTTCGGTGCCTTCATCAGGATGAAGCCGAAGTTGCAATGGAGGAAGTGCACAGCGGCACTTGTTCAGCTCACCAGGGACCCTTCTCCATGTCCCGAAGACTCATAATCTAGGGCTACTTTTGGCCTATGATGGCCCGGGATTGTGCGGATCTCGCCCGAAGGTGTACTGCATGCCAACACTTCCAGAAGGCCCCTGACAGGCCAGCGGTCAACTATGCCCCCATCAGCACATCCATACCCTTCGCTCGACGGGGCATAGACCTTGTGGACCCTCTGCCGAGGGGTACCTCCAACAACAGGTACATCATCGTCGCCATCGACTACTTCACCAAATGGGTGGAAGCTGAGCCCCTCGCCAGCATTACCGAGGGCAGGTGTCGTCATTTTTTTTTTCAAGAACATCCTCACAAGGTTTGGCGTCCCCCAGCAAATCATCTCCGACAACAGGACTCAGTTTGAGACAGCCCCCTTCTGTTCCCTCTTAGAGGCATGAGGCATCAAACACACCTTATCATCCGTTGCCTACCCTCAAGGCAAAGGTCAAGTGGAAAACGCCAACCGGACCTTGCTCCACGGCCTAAAGAAGAAGTTGGAGGGCGAAGGGGGTGGTTGGGTAGAAGAGCTCCACAACATCTTATGGGCCTACCGCACCACCCCTCGGTGAGCAACAGGTGACACACCTTTTTCCCTTTGCTACGGGTTTGAAGCTAAGGCTCCCACTGAGGTAACTCTTCCGACCTGAAGGGTCACACAATATGACCCCGAGGTCAACGACGCCAATATGGCCCTCGACCTTCACCTTATTTCAGAACGCCGAGAGCAAGCCTTCATACGCGCGGAAAACTACCGAAGGCAAGTGAAGAGTTACATTGACGCCAAAGTCCGCTCCCAGGAATTCCAAGTGGGGGATTATGTCCTCCGAAGAAGGGAAGCTAGCCAACCAACCGAGGGCGGCAAGATGACACCAAAGTTCGAAGGCCCCTACATTGTGGCGGCCATCATCAAACCAGGAACTTACAAACTAAAACGCCCCAATGGGACCGATGTCCCTAGACGCTGGAATGTACATCACTTAGTTAAATTTTATCAATAACATCAGAGCGGCCAAGCCCTCGTAACTAGTGAATGTATTATTTTGCGGCCCAAGGCCTCCAATTTTTGAAGAATGAAGACATATTGAAGACACCAAGAACATGGAACAAGACTCTTATGAGCGGCCAAGCCCTCATATCAGCCCCTGGCCCAAGGCCTTACCACAAGTAAGAACCCTCGGCACAAAGTGTCGAGGGTAGACTATACTATCACCGACAACATAGAAGAGAACACCAAATGTTTTTACAGAAGGCCCCTCGGCGCCCAGTGACGGGGGCATACACTACTATCAACTTTCAACAAACGGAAGAAAACACCAAGGGTTTCCTTTGAAGACCCTTCGGTACCAAGTGTCGAGGGTAGACACCCCAATCACCTACGACAAATGAAGAGAAACACCAAATGTTTTTACAGAAGACCCCTCGGTACCAAGTGCCGGGGGCCGTATACCGGAAAAAGCACCAAGTGTTGTTTCTAAAGTCGTACCCCTCGAGGACGCATATACCGAAGGCGCCACCTATCGGTGCTGGTAGCACGTAGTGCCCCCGGCCATTTGCAACCAGTGTGCAAATGAAAACCCTTCCCTGAAACGCTTTCCGCGTCACTACCCCAAGGGTATGACAGGCAAGTAATATGCCCAGGATTCGACTTTCAAAAACGTAACGCTTTCCGCGCCATTTCCCCCAGGGATTGGCAGACATCTAATATGCCCAGGATTCGACTTCCAAATCGAAATGCTCCCCGCGCCACTACCCCAAGGGTGTGGCAGGCCACGGACTATGTCTGGTGCCGAGGGGACGACTTCCAGAACTGAGGCGCTTTTCGTGCCATCTCCCAAGGGGAGGCACGCTACAGACCATGTCTTGTGCCCAGGAAACGACCCTCGATTGTAATACCCGAGATTAATTTAAGAGGATTAATAGTACTACTCATACAAACAGAGGTGCATCTTTTTTAAGGGAGCTCATCAACCAAGAACTCCAAAGTTAAGCGTGTTTGCACGTGAGTAGTCTTGGGATGGGTGACCTCCTGGGAAGTTTCTCAGGGCGCGCATGAGTGAGGACAAAGTGCGCGGTAAAGGCTCGTGGTGGTTTGTGGGGACAGTACTAGAGGTCAGAAGTAACTACCTCGGGGCCTGCGGGGCCGGGGTGTTACAAATGGTATCAGAGCAACCCTGCGACAGTGTGCTGATCCGTTGGATATCGAGCGGGCACTTAGCAGGGGAAAAGATTCTGGGATATGATTGAGATTGGTTTATGGGCGCAACGAGGATGTTGCGTTCCTAAGTGGGGGTGATTGTAATACCCGAGATTAAATTAAGAGGATTAATAGTACTACTCATACAAATAGAGGTGCATCTCCTTTTAAGGGAGCTCATCAACCAAGAACTCCAAAGTTAAGCGTGCTTGCATGGGAGTAGTCTTGGGATGGGTGACCTCCTGGGAAGTTTCTCAGGGCGCGCATGAGTGAGGACAAAGTGTGCGGTAAAGGCTCGTGGTGGTTTGTGGGGACAGTACTAGAGGTCAGAAGTAACTACCTCGGGGCCTGCGGGGCCGGGGTGTTACATCGATCCCCTTGGAACTCGGAAGGTTAACCCGAGGGGGGAGCTAATGGTGTATTCTATTACCTCCCGATAGGCTAAGCCTTACTAAGAAACCAAGTTTCTTGAAGCCTTCCCTTCACTACCAAAAAAAAAGAAAAGAAAAAAAGAAAAACGAGGGAATGAAGGGGAGTAGACTCAGCGGGAAATCAATGAGTACACCACTCCAACAATTCACGACAGAATGCCCTTCGGCAGTACAAGACAATGCATACCGAGGGCCTCCCACGGGAACACCTCCGGTACCTGGAAGCTCCTAATTACCAAAGATACTATTCAACAAATGGCTAAGTCCACTTTGATAGGTTCACTCAGCAACTATTCAAAAACGTCCCCAAAGGCTACTATACAACAAATGCTGTCAAATGTTGGCCAAGTCCAAGCAAGAATCACCTCCGGCACCTCACTAGACGCCGAGGGGATACACCCAGGCATTGTCCGAGGGAGTCTATCTTTTTATGCTGCACTTGAACTACAAAATTTCCTACGTCAACACTGTGGAGACATGACAACAGCCGAAGGCTTTTGTTGCCACAGGCCAACCTTGCGAGACAAGGGAAATTATTCTAGGCCCACAGAGTAGGCAGCCGAAGGGTCCCCGCACTGAAGGCCAGCAACAGGAAATACTTAGAAAAAACTTCTAAGTCATAAAGCGTGTGGCCCTCGGCAAACTCACATTGCAACGAGGGTCACCCCACTTCATGCAGCAAGAAATGCCCACATACCGAAGGCCGGATGATATTCAAACACTTAGAAAAATTTTCTAAGTCCTAAATGCTTTTCCCCCTGCCGAGTCACCGGTCAACCGAAGGCACACCTGCGACAAGGCTCTCACATTCAGCCGAAGGCTCCTATCCCATACAAATACACTTAGAAATATTTTCTAAGTCCTAAATATTTTTTACCCTTGGTCAAATCTCCATGCAGCCAGAGGGACCTAGTAGCCAAAGGCTACGGGACGCACTATACTTACAAAAATATTTCCTAAGTCCTAAAAGTTGGCCCCTCGGCCAAATTACCGTACGAGCATACATTCATACACACAGGAAGGAAAAGACGAAGGCATACATTTAATGAAAAAAAAGATTCACATACAAAAGCCCGAAGGCAGACTTTCATTCATTAAAGGGAAAGAAGAGTTAAAGTGTCTATTACAGGAGGGCTGATGCCGAAAGCATACACATGTTCATTACAAAAAACTGTTCAAAAATCTACTAAGTGCATAATCATTCGGTTTTTCCTTCTTCCGTAGGCTTTGAGGTGACCTCTACGCCGGCCTCTGCATCGTCCCCCTCGGCCTCTTTCATCAGCTCAGTATCTTCTAGGTCTGGCCTTTCGACATCCAGGGGAGAGGAACACGGACATCTGGCTGCAGGGGAGGAAGGCCGTATGCCGCCGGGTCAAAATCTTTTGGCTCAATCTTCAAGTGACGGGCCATCCTCCGGTAGATGAGGGCCTGCGTAAAAAACTCACCCCATCATAGTATTGTTTGCCCTTCCGGGACACCCACTCTACGTCGGGCCCATCACACCACTCATCGACAGATGACTCCATGACCGAGGACAGCCATTGCTTATATCCCTCGGTTTTCCACCCCCCCGTCAGGAATCCGGAGATGGCCTCCTCCCGTGCCTTGGCAATGGATTCCGCCTTAGCAGCCTCGGCCTCCTTGGTGGCCTTCTCGATGGCTTCAACTGCGGACCTCTTAGCCTCGGCCTTGCCCCGGTCAGCTGCCTCCGCTCGCAACGTCATCTGCCGAAGGCTCTCCTCCAGCACGACCATTTGCCTGATGGCATTAGAGTTCTGATGAACGAGTTCCTTCATCTTCGCGTCCTGCTCAGCCTTGTGCAGGCGCCACTCCTCCAGTCTCCGGGCCTGCTCGTCGAGGGCAATGCAAGCCTGTAAGATACAAAGGAGTTAGGAAAGCTATGCAATATATACTAACGCAAGGTAGAATGATAACAACGAGGAAACTTACAGTGAGGGAACATCGGAGGATCTTGTCCTCGAGGGCCATGTCATCATCTGCCCCGAGGGCAGCTCTGTCAATCTCAGGGGTCATGCCCCTCAGGAGCACCCTCGGATCCACCGTGCAGTTCATCACGGCTGTTCCTCTCGGGAGGGAAACCTGCAGAACCTCGGAGGGTAGCTCCCCAATACCCATCGGCATATCAGCCGTCGGCATCTCCACATGCGTCCCGGGGGCGGAGTGCTCGTCTACAATCACCACGGGAGGATCAATCTTCCCGGTATCTCCCTTTTTGGGCTTCTTCCCCTCGGGAGCCTTGCCCGTGGCCTTCGTCTTCGCAGCGGCGGCGGCATCAGAAGTAGGGACCGTCGACGGGCCCTCAGACTTCTTAAAGAAATCACTTGTGGGCTTCTGGGTGCCCGCATCCGTCCCCTTCTTGATTTTGGGGGACTTCTTCTTCAAACCGGCGAGCCCTTTGACATTCATCTTGGAGACCGGGATACCTGCAAAATAATAAGGGGTTAGGCCGACAGGTCATCAATAAAGGAACAATGACATGAAAGTACAAAGAAGAGAATAAAAAATATATGCTAAGTACGAAAATTGAATGCCCTCGGCTACTACCTCCTAAACCCCCGGAGGCTCCATCAAGCATCGGGTACTTTTCATCTGTTTCCCCCAGGAAACGATACCGCCGAAACCCGAGGGCGTACAGATCCTCCTCGAGGGTGCACTCCTTGATCGTCACATTCTTGTTGCGCCCCTCCGGGATCTTGGCGAGTTTCAGGCCATCTTTCTCGAGGGCGGCACTTCTTATCTTCTCATGCCACCTGAAACGGTCCCGCAATTCCCTCGGGAAGGGGCTCTTAGCTAGCATGACGTAGCACCAGCGCTCCTTCCAGCCTTTTTTTGAGGAGGGCGCCTCAGTGAATAACTTGAACAGAGCCACCTGCTGCAGGTTCGCGAAGCCCTCGGCATTCGCATGCCCCCCCCGGCACAAGTTGAAGCTTTGGAAAAATAAGTCCAAGCTAGGTGTTACCCCCCGGGACTTGCAGAGATGGAGGAACCCAGCGATGTACGAGTGGCTATTTGGCGTGAGCTGGCAGGGAAGCAGTCCTACGTACCTAAGGTACTCACGCAAAAAAGGGTGCAGAGGGAATCGGAGGCCCATTGACACCGAGAGTATGTGCACCGTTATACACCCCTCAGGAGCCTGGGAGAGGACATCATCAGGTCCCGGTGGCACTACCGTCGCCTAGGGCCCCACATGAAGCTGGGTAACATAGAGATCCGCCCCATCTGCCTTCGACTTTATCTCGAGGGCGGCAGTATTCAGGAAGGAGTAACCCTCGGGCATATCGACGGGTTTCCCTTGGTCAGCAACACTGCCCTTCTTCTTAGCAGCAGCCTTCGCCTTCTTCTTCCCGGGGGCCACCCGTAGAGGGACCGGGTTCAATGGCCGAGAGGTGTTGGCTTCACCGGCGTCGCGAGGGGGGAGAACAGCGACGGTGACCTTCATGCTCTCCCTCTGCGCCTCTTCCTCGACCACCTGCCAGGCGAGAGCCAACTCTTCATCCTCGCACTCTTGTTCGAACCCCTCGGCTTCCACCTCAGCAACGAGGGCTCTCTGCATCTCCATCACCACGGCGACATCATGCCCCACCGAGGGCTGTTCACTTGTGGACTCCACATCGGAGACGGTTTCATCCTCGACCGAAGGCTCCCTCGAAATGTCTTGTGAATCGCTCTGGGACGACATTTTGGTATACTACGAAAACGGGACTCTACACCGAAGGCTGTCTACAGAATTCTAACCCCTAATCTAAGGGCACAGAGCACAGCTAACTAAGAAAGGTGAAGGACGGGTGGGGGATTGACCTTGGAACAAGAGTTGGATCGAAGGCAGGTGTTTCTCTCTCTAGAAATCAAATGGCCAGAGCTTCGCTAACATCAATGATCGCACAAGGAAGTAGTCCTCTGGCCTTGGGTATTTATAGGCACCACAAATCTGGGCTTGGGCCGGAAACTGGGCCTCCGGTTGGAAAGCCATCATTACGAACCGTCGAATTTCCCAATCGGTGACGCCCGCCCACAGGCAGCCAACGAACGCACGCCACGTGGAGACCCCCCTCCAACGGCTATATCTCCAGCGTTACATCTTCCAACGGTTCTATTACAACGGCTATATTCTGGGAACCCGGGCTGTCTCCTTCGCTCCACTTCATTAAGAGGAGCCCCCGGGTACACTTACCCAGAAGTGCTCCCGGCCAATGCCCCTCGTGATACATCACAAGTGCCTTCAGGCTCACTCCTTCAGAAGCCCACGGCTTCACAACGGGCACATCCCTCGAGAACACTCAATCCTCAAACACATTGAGGACCACGTAACCCCCGGGGAGCACACCTTCATCAACAGTTACCCCCGGCTACACAACAAGGAAACCCCCCGAGGTACCACAGTCCTCAACTTATCAACAGACAGGGGACCCCTCGACGACACGGGAAGTATCACCTACGTTCAGTGCACCCTCATTCTCATGAATTGGGGGCTCCCCTTCGGCATCCCCCAGGATATCAAAAGCGAGCCTTCGGTAAAGCAATACACGCGCCCTCAGACAAGGATAGCCTTCAGCAACAATTATGCCACTCATTTCAGACCAGGGTTTCACCTTTTCGACTCATCATTGGGGGAATTCGGTGTACTCTTTTTCCCTCATTGGAATTTTCCCCACAGGATTTTTTCCAATGAGGTTTTTAACGAGGCATCCCCCCAAAATGAAACGAAAAGCGTCACCCCTCGGCTTCATATTGCAGGCAGGCAATACTATACTCCTTTTCACCACTTTGCAAGTGCCTCAAGGAGTGAGGGACTGGAGAACACCTTCGGGACTGGAGAACCCCTTCGGGAAAAACCTCAAAAAAAACAAAAAATGTCAAAAACTCCCACAACGACAAACATGATCCCTCAAGTCTCGGAATGTGGGTAACTGAGGGACTGCCCTCGACTGAAACACGTACACAGCGAACTACTCACAAACTTTACAAACTACAATGGAACAACACCAAAGGACAAACACAAATTACTCCTTTTCCCTCAAGTACCTTTCGGCAAAAGGAGTGAGGGACTCCTGATGGAGTATATGGCCCAGGAACCCCCGGCCCATAGACTCCTACTGTAACACCCCGGCCTCGTAGGCCCCGAAGTAGTTACTTCTGACCTCTAGTACTGCCCTCACAAACCGCCACTAGCCTTTTCCGCGCACTTTGTCCTCACTCGTGCGCGCCCTAAGAAATTTCCCAGGGGGTCACCCATCACAAGACTACTCCCGTGCAAGCATGCTTAACTTTGGAGTTCTTGGCTAATGAGCTCCCTTAAAAGGAGATGCACCTTGTTAATATGAGTAGTACTATTAATCCGTTTAAATTAAATCTCAAGTATTACACCTACTACTCTAAGGGAGGCTCAATAGGCCCAGGAAGCACAACAGGCCCAAATCACAGCGCCCCAAGTACTGGGCAACCCACATGGCACACTGGGGGTGCCTTCGGCCCCCTGGCTGAAGGCTCCAAATTCTCACAGAATGGCCAACTCAAGCAAACAAAGTTACTGGGAGAAAACAACGAAAATTAGTAGCCCTCGGCACCTAGAGCCCTCAGCACTAATGAGGTTCCCGGTACCCAGAGTCCTCGGCTAATCATCTGCAGCCGAGGGCACCTTTCTCGACATAATATCCTCTCCACATGCGCCTGAATCACCGTACCAAGTACGACGTCACATCCAACAGCTGCATTTAATGCGGCCACATGCGAATGTCAGTGCCACCCCGTTGAGGTGACCCCTCGACCACCAGAATGATGACACGTGTCCCTATCTGGCATTTATTACTACTATAAATAGCGCCCCCTTTCCCCATTTGTAATCCAAGCTAAAATCACTCATTACATTCTCAGCAATACACTCTCTCTCTCTTACTTCTGCTCTGACTTCTCTCTAGTTACTCCCCGCAGTAACCCTTCGGATACATACCCCGGGTAGACTATCCATCAGTTTTACTAGCTTATTAACATACATAAGTTTTAAAAACAAGCACACATGAATATGTTAACAATATAAACACACAAGAGTAATATTAGTCTCAATTAATGCAATATTAATACCAGAAATAATAAACACTATTAGCATTATAAACCTCGTTTGTGCATTTCACATAAATTAGTCATAACTCACAGCAAGACTTCCTGTTTTTTGCATGACCAAATCTGCAGTACCTAATAAAGATGCCAATCGTGTCAATGAAATTCACAAACCATTGCATGCCTTAACATTATCTTCAGTTAACCCCTTGATATTTTCCAAATCAATTGTCATTTCATTTATGTTGCTTGAAATAACCTCCACTGAAGCCCTGATCAAAGAAATTTTTTGGGGAGGGTAAAGGGAAGCCGCAAGTTCATCAATTTGAACTCAAGAAATTACATAAGATTTTACATAGGAAATAAATATGCAATTTCTTTTCATATATGATCCAAAAAAGTATAAACATCTTCATATTTAGCAGAAAATAAATAAATGAGCCTGGTTATTCAATAGAATGAAAATGTAAATATTGTAGTCTCATGGAGATGCACAATATTTCATTACAAGAGTTTATCAAAAACATTATGAACAAGAACAATAATATTCTCAAATAATGTAGTGAAACAAAAGTGTCAAACAAACAGCATTAGAATATTATAAGATGAAGGGGAAATGAATACTATAATGGAAGTGGGTCGGCGGCAATTCATCAAGTCGGAAATCGATCCTCCATGTCGGACTCGCTCGCGGGTGGTTGGCGTTGTATCATCCAGGCGGTGGCAGCATCCAGGCAGTGGCGGATCCAGGATAAGAACTTATTGGGGGCAGAAAAAAATGCATCACAAAAAAGATTAATAAAGTAGTAATGTAATATTACAATAATTAAAGTCTTACCAAATACATCACAATTGTTCGCGCCGAGTTTTCATCTTTTGAAAGAGATCCATTACAGTTTCATTTGTAACAGTTTCAAACACATCTCTTTCAATAAAACAAGTCAGACAATCACTCAAATACCTATCACCAATTCTTTTGCGCAAATTAGTCTTCACTATTTTCATAGCGGAAAAGCATCTCTCTACGGTTGCTGTGGCAACTGGCAAAGTCAATGCTAGCTTTAAAAGCTTATACACCAAAGGATGTGAAAGATGTTTCCTTGTATCCACCATCACTCGAGCAAGATCACCAAGACTTTTCAATCTAGCAAACCTTTCATCCGCTAACACATTGTCAATGTAAATACTGACTTGGTGCTCAAGAGTTCTGCGTTCCACATAACTGAAGTCACTTGGATAAAATTCAGCCAATCTCAACAACTTTGAAGCATCAAACTCACGGAAGGAATCAATCGGACTCAAAGAGGCCATGCAAAGAAGTAGCTCAGAATTTACCTCATTGAAACGGTCATCAAATTCACTAATTTGCAAATCCATTATGGTATTAAAACATTCATACTCATAATGATGCCGATTAGTGATATTAGTTCTTTGACGTGGCCTCCTTGGGTTAACAAAGTCCTCATCCATATTAAGCACAGAAATTTCATGCTTCTCACAAAATTCTAAGATCTTCCTCAAATGAGAATCCCATCCATCAGCTCTTACCTTAAGCAATTGTTGCTTTGTTATTTTCACAAGTGAAACAGCATTCAATATGTCTTGATCTTTCTTTTGAAGAGCCACTGACAAAGAATTTGTGAGTCCCAAGATAAGCAACATCAACTGCAAATAAAACACAAATTTAAATGATTGAAAATATGTTAGAAGACCATTAGCCTGGCGTCTTTTCACACTGTCTACGCCCTCCACTTCAATGTACTCAAGGACTTGAACAACTGATGGAAACAGTTCAATCAAATTGAGAAGTGTTCTATAATGGGAACCCCAACGTGTATTTCCCGGTCTTTGAAGGGCAAGCTCCTGATTTAATCCTGTTTCGGTGCTAATTTCACCATTACTTATAGCTTCTTTAACTTTTTCTTGATGACTTTCTCGAATCATATCTCTTCTTTTGCAAGACGCTCCAACCACATTTAATAAAAGAGATATCATTTCAAAAAAATCACCAACATCAAAGTGTTTCTTCGAGACCGCCACAACAACTAATTGTAGTTGATGAGCAAAACAATGGATATAGTACGCCGAGCTACTTTCTTTCATGATTAAAGCTCTCAACCCATTGAACTCACCTTGCATATTGCTTGCACCGTCGTACCCTTGGCCTCTAACATTTTTCAAACTCAGGCCATATTCAGAAAATACAGAATCAATAGCAGATTTAAGAGACAAAGAAGATGTATCCTTCACATGAACAACACCAATAAATCTTTCTTTAACTATGCCACACCGATCAACGTACCTCAACACCATAGCCAATTGCTCCTTGTAAGACACATCACTAGACTCATCAACCAACAAACTAAACACATCATCACCTATCTCCTTAAGCACAGAGTGAACAACTTCCTGTGCAAAACAATTAGCAATGTCTTTTTGAATGCTAGGAGCAACAACTTGATTATTTCCTAGAGCATTTTTCAATACAACCTTACTCACAGCATCATTTTGACTAGCAGTATATTATACTAGTTCCAGAAAATTGCCTCTATTGTTGGACTCTTCAGATTCATCATGACCACGATAAGGCAGTCCTTGATGCAATAAAAATCTTGAAACATCAATATAAGCATTCAAACGAATACGATATTCATTCTTCACAATTTCACTTTGTCTATGCAAAGCAACAACAATTGACTGGTCTTGGTTCATTAAATCATCACATTTTTAAGTGCCTTATTGTGGAAACTATTTATATTACCCACATGAGAAGCTAATCGCTCCGTTTTATTCCAACTTGAGAACCCTTCAGTTACAAATGCATCATTCCCAGCACGATTCTCAAAGTGATCTCTAAACAAGTAACAAGGCAAACAAAAGGCTTTGTCATCTTGTATACTATATTCTAACCAATTAGGATATTGATCAAACCATTTAGAGTTGAAGCGTCTTAAAGTCTTCCCAATCTCTTTTTGTGGGAAGTCATGACCACGTGGTTGACAGGGTCCTTTAATCAAATATTTTCTCCTGATTTCATCTATTTGATTAGGATGGTACTCAGAAATTTTTCTTCTTTTTGCGGGATCTGAGGGAAGCTCATCCAAATCAACTTGTTTAGGTATTGATGAAGAACATTGAGATGCAATATTTGAAGCATTATTATTTGAACTACCCGGTGAAGGAACGGTAGCCCAATATCTCTTCATTGAGTCTGGAAAAGAAGTTAAACTAAAATTAATTGTTTTAATACATTAATACATTTCATTTAACTACCTAAAATAATATATATTTTACATTTAGGGTTTCTACTTTCTAATAGTATAAAACATTCTAAAATTGAATTAATTAACAATTTCAGTAGCTCATCAGCTATATTAAATCTAATTGAACCTTCTAAAATATTTAATCTATGGTGTGAATAAATTTAAAACACTATAATTAGTTAAATATACTAATATGTATATAATTACTAAATATTAACTACACAATAGGAAAGTAATCAACACTCCAAATCAACACTCCAAATCAACACACCGTAATTGATAAAATATGACAAATTAAAGTGAAAAGGCTTACCTAGTTGGCTAAATGGTTAATTATTGGCCTTTTGGAATTTAGCTTCTGCCGTTCTGGTTCAGTGGTTCTGCGGAAGGCCGAAGGCCGGATTGCTTGAAGCGAGGAGGACAGGAGTTCTTCAGGTCGGAGCAAGGAGGTTTTGGCCTTCTGCGTATGCGGCTCCGCAGTCTGCGCGCAAGAGAGTCGGGGCTTGGCATCTGCGGATTAACCCCTTTTCTTGGAACGGGCTGGAAGATTTTGGGTTATTGGGGGCAGGCCATTTTTTTAATTGGGGGCAAATAGCTGGGCTTTTAATATTTTTTTAAAAATTAAAAGGGTTTAATGGGCCTTTATTGGGGCAGCTGCCCCCCTAGGCCTTAGTGGATCCGCCCCTGCATCCAGGCGGCGGCGGCTCCAAGCGACGATGTCCTCCAGGTCTGCTGCCCTCCCTATTCAATCGTGAAGCACCATAGAGACAAATTAAATGGCTTATGACAATTAAATGTGGAGAAACTGTAATGAAAACGAAGAAGAAAGAAAGAAATGAAAACGAAGAAGAAAGGAGAAACTTGGTCTACGAGAGAGGAGTCAAGTCGCAGAGAAGAGAGGACAAAGAGATATTTATATGCATGTACAGTTTGTGTACAAACTATGTACGACTAGCATTTTTCTTTTTAATAACTAATCGTCTTTTAGCAACACAAATTATGGAGTCAATGCCCAACAACACAAACTCTCACAAACAATAATTTATTCTCGAACAACAACATTTCCTATTAAACTCTCAATTTAACAATCTCGGAGCATGTGTCACTCAATCAAAATATGTTATATTCCAATCGACCATTAATTGTTATGATATATGTTGTTAGTCACTACATATAATTAATAAACATCATCAATTGACATTGTTCTTTGAACTACATAATTACGATTGTTGTATTTAGTAGGTGTTATAATTTGTACATGTCGCTTCTTCTGAGTCTTCTTATAATTGGTTGTGACAATTTTATTTATCTATTACTACCTCCTCCCACAAAATTCTTCTCATTTTGACTTGAGACGGATATTAAGAAAGTGAAATAAAATGGAAATGTGTGATTGTGGTTGTGTAAGAAAAAAGTGAAATAAATGTGAACCACATAAATTGTCCAAAAATTGTAAGTGGGAAGAATTTTTTGGGACGACTCAAAAAGAAAAATGAGAATAATTTTATGGGACGGAGGGGGTATATTGTTTAGAATATTAGTATTATCAATTAAGATGACAAATTTAGTTTTTAATGTTTTTTGGAGTTTCACATCGAATGATATATGAATCCATTTTTTGTACTTCAATAGATTTTTTTGTGTGTTTTTGTCAATTAACCTGGTCAATAATTATTTGAAACTGAATTTGGGACATATGCAGTAATAAAGTAGTAGTATATTTTAACATAATTTTTTCATAATTAAGTAGTTTCGAGAAATTTAATTTGTAATTAATAACTCCTATAAAGGTTAGAAGTTCGAACCAACAATACTTATATATTAAATATTTTAACAATTTTGTACGTAGTATATTTTATCAGTTTAACCATTTCAAGCAAACCTTTAAGAGGTTAACTAACCACTTTTAAAAAATCTAAATCATTTCAAAAGTATTCTTTATTTTTCAATGTGCATATCATAAACTTTATAAAACTTTATAATGTTATCGATCCGGGACCCGAAAGATACACGAACTATCAATTCATGACTTGAAACATGAAATGTATCGGTATATGACCCGAATGATGGAAAACTATCAATCTAGGATCCGAATGATTGAAAACTATCAATTTAGGACCTAAGTTTTCATAAATTTTATCATTATTCTTATTTTAAAAAAAATTAAATAACATTTAGTTTTATTAAACTAATAAACTTTTGTGAACAAAATTTTACCAAATATTAGCAATGGATTTAATAAAAAATTAAATAAATCAAAACCTATGAAATGTTAAGTCTTAGATTGATAGTTTTTCATCTTTCGAGTCATATACTGATGCATTTCATCTTTCAGGTCCTGAATTGATAGTTCGACTATTTTTCAGGTCCCAAATTGATAAAATTACTATTTTTAATAACAAAGTACAAGCCCTCATGCACCAAATGTGTTGACACAATTCAAGGATACTAACCAACACTCACATTTATAAGGTTATTAGATATTGCAAGTTCTTTAAAGGTTTTATTTTCATGTTTGTCAATTCAAAACTCTAATTATAATTTTATTTACGGTTATTAGCCCTAAATGAGAGTAAAAGTAGTTCAAATTTTCATATTAGTACTATATTCATTTTATTCCTAAAATAGGAGTAATATATATATATACACACATATATATAGGGAGTGGTTCCGGTAAGAATGGACTCTTAGGAGAGAAATGAGAACGAATCTGGACCGTTGGATTGTATTATGGGGAACTGAATTGTGCATTTGGTGAAACTGATATGTGTATTAGATGATATTGAAATGTGCATAATAAAAATTTAAACTCAAGTGCGCATTAGGTGAAACTGAAATGTGCGAAATAAAAGGTACAAAAATAACATCACATCAAACCTTTTATTCTGCACATTTCAATTTCACCTAATGCACAATTTAGCTTCACATAATGTCTACTATATCGTACCCTTGTGCTGCAAATTTGAATTTCACCGAACGCACATTACAATTTCATCTAATGCACATTGAATTTCACTTAAACCAAATCTAACGATCCAGATTTATTCTCATTTCTCTCTTAAGATCATGTTCTTATTTGAACCAAAACATATATATATATATATATATATATATATATATATATATATATATATATAGGGGTGAGATCACATACAAACCATGCTTAACTTACTAACCTACAAACTCAATAATATGCAACACTTTGAACTTCAATATGCAGTACAAATAATGTAAAGTGCACTCTTTGAATTTCA